TGAACTTTATATTTGTACCAGATGATTTTAGGACGTCTGGATCTTTCTTCAAAGAAAAAAGCTGAGCAAACATTAGTGCAAGCTAATTAGAGAAACCGATTTCTAATGTGAAACCGCTTTATTTTGTGTTAATGTGAAACCGCTTTATTTTGTGTTAATGTGAAACCGCTTTATTTTACCAGAATGAATGAGAAAAAACAAGACCTCTGCAGATAATTCGGCTCCTGGTAAATGATCCCATGCTACTTCACAATGCCACTCATTTGTATCTTTTAATAGTGCTTTCATTGAGTCCTTAGTGGCAGTAAAATCAATAATAGTCCAATACAACAGCTTGGTCATAAATTATACCTTTACAAACAATGTTAATGTTTGATTTTGATTGACACCTTTAGAGGTGTTGATTTAACTAAGGTGTTAATATGTTTTTATTAATGTTGTAGTTTGAAGTTACCCATTTTATGAAAATGAGAAAGACATCTGTCTCAGTGTGTGTGCATGCATGCGTGATGTGCAGTGCCAGTCTTTCTTGCATACAGTGTACAATGTGCTAAATAGTGATACTAGTCTTTGTGTGTGTGTGTGTGTGTGTGTGTGTGTGTGTGTGTGTGTGTGTGTGTGTGTGTGTGGTGTGTGTGTGTGTGTGTGTGTGTGTGTGTGTGTGTGTGTGTGTGTGTGTGTGTGTGTGTGTGTGTGTGTGTGTGTGTGTGTGTGTGTGTGTGTGTGTGTGTGTGTGTGTGTGTGTGTGTGTGTGTGTGTGTGTGTGTGTGTGTGTCGGTGGGTTGTTTTGGAAAGTGAACAGGAGTGCTGAGTAAGCGGTGCTGGACCTGAGCTAGGAGACTGCAGTACAGCTGGCAGCAACACACACTGATGTGAGACTGATACTCAACAGAGGGGGGAGGAGAGGAGAGGAATCAAGAGAGAGTATGAGTAGGAAGGAAAGGATTCAAGAGAGTATCAGAGGATAGAAGAGGAATCAAGAGGATATAAGGGGATAGGAGAAGGACAGAATAGAAAGGAATCAAGGAAGAATAGGTGATGAATCAGAAAAGGAGAGGAGAGAGAAGAGGAATCATGAGAATGTATGGACAGATAGGAGAGTAATCAAGAAAGAGTATGGCATTGGGCACATAGGAGAGGAATCAAGGGAGATAAGAAGAGGAGAGGTATCAAGAGAGGGGAGGGGAGGGATGACAAAAAAGAATAAGAAAAGGAGAGAAGAAGAAAGGAAAGGAATCAAGAGAGTTAATAGAGGATATGAGAGAAGAGAAGAGGGATGAAAAGGGTAAAGGAGAGATCGTTATAAAAATGGCCTTGGATGTACACAGCACATTTGAGCAAAACGCACACGCTCCTACTGACACTGCCAGCTATAACACATGCTACATTTCATATGAGGCACAGCAGGGCATGAATAATGTAAAACTCCACACACGCAGATGTTCAATCACACCAGCCTACATACACATGCACAAGGGTGCAATACAAACACACTTTTAAACATAATTGACACATAACTAATATACGTCTATAGCAGAGCCTTAAGTGACACATCATGAATAAAACAAGCATTCCTGTGTATGAACAGCCACACATCTCTCTATTTATTCTTTCAAATAGGCACACCGTGCACACACACATACTGCAAGACCATATAAGCGGGGCCCACGCCCTGACACACACACTGCGTCACGGCCCCACAGTCGGAGCCAGCAGCCGTGTTTACTCCCTCCAACCTGTGAGCCACTTATTGTGCTAGAAAAGCCCTCATCTTCTCCTCCCGCCCACGCCTCCCTCCCCGTCTTCTGAGTCACCCTCCGCTGCTCCTTCACCATTGCTATCCCCGCCTCCCCGCCCCACGCCCCCCACCCCCTCATGTCCATTCCCTCATCTCTCCTGCCTCATTATGAATGATGCTGCTGGGACTTCCAGGGATGTCTTTCGCTCTCTGTTTCTCTTTTTCTGTATATCATTACATATGTGTGTCTCTATCTTCTTCTTCCTCCTCCTCCTCCTCCTCCTCCTCCTCCTCCTCCTCCCTCCTCCTCCTCCTCCTCCTCCTCCTCCTCCTCCTCCTCCTCCTCCTCCTCCTCCTCCTCCTCCTCTCTCATCCATTACCTCCCTCTTCACATCCTTGTCATCACCATGTTGTGACTATGTATATTTAAACAATCCAGGGCCTGTGTTTTGAACCTCACGCCTCCTCTGTCCGTATATTAGATTATATAAACGCGTCCTCATGGACCTTGGGGACACTGCAATCTAATTTGGTCTGGTGTTGATGAGTGTACATCAATTCGACATTTAACACGGTAACGCATGTCTATTCCCTCAGAAGAATCCTAATAAGACATCAACTGATAAAATATGACCTGTTTTGCTCAAATTAGCCAGCCAAAGGACTTTTATGTAATCAGAGATAACACAGGGATAACTTGTAAATAAGTACATTCTGAACCATTGTGTAGTGATTCATTAATGCCGATTCCTGTTTCAGTCTGAGTGGTAAACATTAGAACAGTATTTGCACATGGCTGCCATTTTGATATATGTTTGTGCTAGAAACACAAGGGCTCCCTCGAAGTTTATTCTCCCCCTTCTTAATAAACAACTAAAGCCCTGCAATGCTACATTTGCCAAACAGTGCCACACGCTGGTTTTTATACGAAACTGCACCGGCTGGAGAGAAAGTTTTTTTTTGCCAACTGTAGCGAAATCAAATACAAAAACCTAAACAGGTTAAGTGCAGTACAGGTCCCTTTTTGGATAGTCTTCAAATACTTTAAAGAGTATTTAAAAAATGTCAACAGCATATTAGATGAGACTCAACAATACAACTGTTTGGCTTTGTCTGTAGATGCTTTTTGTATTATCTGAAGCAGGGGTGTCAAACCCAAGGCCCGGGGGCCCAAATCCGGCCCTCGACTTCATTTTATGTGGCCTGCAAGAGCTCTGAAAGAATATAATACGTTTATTATACGGTTGAATGTCGCTTTACAGAAGCACGTTTCCCATAAACTACATGTCCCACAATGCATCTCATTTTGTGACGTGCACACTGAAGAGACTTGCAATTATTTGCCCTAGACTTCTGCTTTTCAGACGTAGTTAATTATGAAGTTATTACCCTATCCGATAATAATCTAATGCAGAGGCAATAATGTAATATAAAACATTATTTTATACATGTACATGCACTGGCTTTTAATACTAGTCGAACATAACATTTTGATATTTGTATATGTTTTATATGTTTCTAGTTATTGTGCTTTTTATCTTGTTTTTAATTATTGTTTTATTATTTTACTCCTATTGTGTTTATTTGACATTTGTTCCCTGTACAGCACTTTGGTCAACTGAGGTTGTTTTAAATGTGCTATATAAATAAATAAAGATTGAGATTGAAAGTTACAACCGGCCCTTTGAGTGCAACCATAATGCTAATGTGGCCCACGATGAAATTGAGTTTGACACCCCTGATCTAAAGAGTACGTGACAGCTCAAGAGTGTCCAAGATACTTAACGTTGGCATGTGTAAGTGATTGAAGTGTATGTAAGTAGCTTTGGATAAGCTAAATGTCATGTAATTATATGTCTCATACAATATCTTGTATTGAGCACCAATTTGAAACAGAACTGTAAACAGATTTACTTTTTCTTTATGGATATTTTACAAATCACCCTTTTAAACTTTATTCTTGTTTTACTGTCATATAGTATTTCATACCTGTTTTTCATTTATTCTCTTATTTTTGTATAACTATAATGATCATATAAACGTGTGCCTCAGAAATAATTGTTTACATTAATCGTGACCAAAACGTTTGAGACCCGGCCACTAGCTCGCTAGCACCAGAAGCTAACAACAACGATCTCCGGTACCGGTGCGCTCTCTCTCTCTCGCTCACGCACACAAAATGGCTCGTTCCACACACACACACACACACACACACACACACACACACACACACACACACACACACACACACACACACACACACACACACACACACACACACACACGAGCTTGAATGAAACACAGAGACCCAGACGTACTTGTACTGTACTGTATCATATTATTTTCGAATCAATACATTTTCAAATTATGATTTTTTTTTTTTTTTTTCAAAACCATTTTCCCACTCCTGCCACTAATAGTCTCTCCATGTCTCTCTCTGCAGCTCCAGCCACTGCAGAGTCAGGGGAGGATTTTAAACATCTTCCTAACTGCAGTCTGTTCTTACAGTAGAGCTTTGCCTCTGCAATCTTCAACAGCCTCTAGCACTAAAACTACTGGAGACCTGATACACTATCCATAGGTTTTGCCGAGAAAGATTAGTGGGCCTGTCAGTGTGAAGTAATTTGAGCCAATTCCTTTCTATTAATATATGCCTAACTTAATATATTCAAACCTGAGACTTCATGCATATTTAATATTAGAATGTCTTCTTCATGTTAGGCATCATTTAAGATGGTCGTAGTTCAATAGTGGGCAGATAGTAAAGGAAAGAGGAGTTTGGAAGAACTGACTGTGACATGTAGTGTGAAGACTTCTCCGTGCTCTGTTTTATAATGACATTTTCTTGTTCCCCTTCCAACTAATACCTTTCAGTATCGTGATACATTGCCTTCTGTAATAATACATCTTAGCAATTAAGAAATCCCTTCCTAAAGTAATTCCAATGTTTGTGCTGTGGGGTTAAATCTGCAAAATGACCTTCAAGAGTTTATCTGAAGCAGTCTAAGGGTACTTAAAGCGGCCCTACTGTATAATACTTTTGGGGATTTTCCCTGTCCTGTAGTGTGTTATATAGGTTTTTGTGCATGTAAATCGTCAGTTACCTCAAGAGGGACACCTGACAGTTGTTTTAGGATAGAAACTGTGAACCTACCTGTGTCATGGCTGCCAGTTTGAACCAGGCTGAAATCAGAGTCATTTCAACAGCCACAAATTAAGTATTTATACAAAATCTCATCATCTTTCAGTGTATCAACAGAAATATAAAGATATCAATTTAGTGTTTTGACTGAAAAGACAAAAACACAGTCCATGCTGAATATTGTGGATACACAGTCCTGAATGGTGTTTACCTAAAAAGTGACTATTGACATGCTAATTGTTTGCATTTTTCGATTATTAATAAAAGCAGAGTCTCCCCTTGGTAATTGAGCGTTATGAAATGTAATGTTATTCTAACAATTTCTGTCTATGTATATAAATTGTTCTTCATGTCCTACTATTAAAGCAGTTGTTTCGAAGATATATTCATTCCAAGTCAATCCAATGTCCCATTTGAAAGGTGGCCAGCGAGCTCGGGTAACAGACTAGGATTCAGAAAGTCTGAGTGTCTCTTGCTGCCGAACCTTCCCCCGGTCTGGTCTGTGGGTTTCCTCTGGTTGTTGTGGTTGAAAGGCATCATGAAGTCGTCAAAGTCCACTTCCAGGGATAAGGGCTCCTTCCGTCTCTCTATCTTCGACATCAGCTGGCTGGTGGTGGGCGGCTTCCCCCAAACCTGACAGACAATGAATGTAAACAGAGTGCGAAATGTGAGTAAGGACTCAGTAGGCTGTGTTCAGAAGTATGTAAGACTGACCATAATTCCACTGCTTTTTCATACACACATTTAGTTAGTGGTTAACTGTTAGTGGTTAGCATTAGTGAGCAGGTAGTATGGAAGCCCTGAGTGGCAAAAGGTAAAACACAGTTCTGGTAATCCATTTTATTAAGTGTCTTTTGAATCATTTTGCCCTGAAATCTGCCTTAAAGGTAGGGTAGGTAATTCACTTCAGAAACACTTGTTGTTATATTCCATGGAATGTTCTTAACATCCCGATAGCAATGAATACATTAAATGCTTTGACAATAAATACATACAAATATTTCATCTGTGGAAGCCGTGGCGCTGTAAAAAGCACGACCAATCATCTGAGCCGGCCCGGGTCAGATGATTGGATGGCCTACCTGCCTGTCAGCCTTCTCGTGCCCTCATTGGTCATGTGCACGTGCTGTAAGGAAGTCTGAAGGAAGGGGCAGATTCTTTTCGGCTGCGTACTTTCAAATTCTAGCGCACTCGAGCTGGTTTCTCCATTCTTACCTACCCTACCTTTAAGTCCTTTAAATGTAAGGGTACAAATTAAATATTGTATTTCTTTAAATGTAAAGGTACAAATAAAATACTTAAAATATGTTTTAGTTTTTTATCAGAACTGTAAAAAAAATACTTTTCTCACTTGTGATTTTGGGACAACATGAGGTAGAGAGTAAAACCCATCATTGGCTGTGGTCAAATGCTAATCACAAGCATCTGTTAAATTAGGAAAATAAGTATTTTTGGATTGGCTTTTTTGAATTTGTATGGGCCCTACCGTTTTTGGCACAAATGAGATGTCCACACTGTTGGTTTTCCCCGTGCTGATCCTGGTGTTTTGCAGGACGACGCTCCTTGATTCCTTCTGAGGAGAAGTCTTCCCTGCTGATGCTGCCGATGCCTCTCCATGCCCTGCTACTTCTGCTAAAACACTCTGAGGGGACACCCAGATTTGAATTATTTTATCCAAATATTTTATATGATATATACTTTAATGTGCAGATTCTAAGAAGTTTTTAGAAGTCTGAGTCCGGTTAAGGTCACAAATAGAAGTGACTCAGTCAGTTTGAGCATTAAAACAATGAGTTATAGTAGAATTAAAGGATAGGGAGGGGGAGGTAGAAACAGCACTGCAACACAGAGTAAAAGTCAGAGATAAATGTTTTATATAAAACAAATATGTGGGTCTAGCCATAAAAATAAGTGTCCATCAGTTGTAAGTGACAAAAGCTCCATCACACTAATTGTCGGTAAAAAGTAACATTTGTCTAAAGCAAATCGTTTTCAAATAAAAAACAGATGTATTTGTTCTAATTCAGAAAAATAGAACAAGTATGCAAAATGTCCTAAACACACCACATTGAAAATAAATGGGAAAGAAACGTAACCTATACAAATCTGCAGTTGTGGCAAAAGCTTTTACTTTCCTGACCTGTACACATCCAGATGTTAACACCTGCATCTTTGCCCTGCAGCTGCTGTGACTGTCTGGCCTGTAGGTGGTGCAGGTTGGAGCAGAACTGAAGTCCTGTGCCTCTGCAGCTGGATGATACTATCTGAGCCCTGGGTCAGGTGTTAATGACACACTGTGTGATCTCATCTTTGGTTTGAAAAGCTTTCAGAGCCACATTCTTCTACTTACAGTAAGACATATCAACACTTGAAGGTACTTTTTTATTTTTCAGGCTCAAGAACCGATTTCTTAATCAAATATGACTGGGGTCAGTCCAATGAATACAGGCAAAACTCACATATTGGCATTTAAGCTTCTCTTCAAGGTCCCAGCACATTGTTGGTTTATATTATTTAGGGGGCTTTATTCAATGGATATTGGGGAGGGTAGGAAATATTAGCTGATTCCCATTGGCCACTATTTTGTCTTTTATATATTAAGTTTAAATGGAATACAATTCAAACGTGAAAGGTCCTTTGGGTGACCTATTAAGACATTCAAATCAATGTATTTATAATATATATATATTTGATATATTCATTTATATTATGATTATATTGTTTATTATTACATTTACAGTGATTCAGAGTTAAATGTTGATAGATGGCTAAAGAAAATGAAGTTCATTTGAACATTTTGCAAATAACTTTGCATTTAAATGATCCAACTTTTACCAACATTATCGTAAGGTGTGATAAGTATCACATGTTAAAGCAGGGGTGGGCAAACTTTTAGGCTCGGGGGCCACTATGAGTTTTAAAATTTGACAGGCGGGCCGGGCCAGTAGCAGATGGATGGAGAGTGTTTGTGTGAACAAATACAAATTACAAGTAAAAGCCATTACCTGAAAAAGTTCATTTCAGTGGGAACAGTATTGTTGGTCACCCTTTTTTGCCAGTGCATCAAAGTTTGGTGTCAGTTTGGTTGTGGCAATTCTCAGGACATATCTGAGGTGTTCATCAGTTAACTAGGATCTGTGACGTGATTTGTTGATGTTCATCACGCTGAACGTCGGCTCACACACGTATAGAGCCAAACAACACCAGCATCCTCTGTGCCATCCTCCTAATGTTTGGAAACTTGGCTTCGCTTAGTGAAGCATAAAACTCCTCCAGTTTGAGATAGTTGAACTTCTCCTTTAAGACGGAGTCACATTGAAGATCAATCCGTTCCAATTGCAACTCCTGCGGCGCTGTTTCACTGTCTTGTGACAGGGGACATGAAACCAGCTGAAGTGAGTTTTCGATTTTGTTTAGCTCTGGAAAATCGTCAGCTTTCCCGATTAACTCCAAAAATGAGCTAATCTCCCCTTTAAACTCCCACACTCGTCGACATACTTTCCCCAAACTTAACCAGCGGACATGAGAATGATAAAGCAAGTCCTGGTGATCAGCATCCGTTTCCTCAAGGAACTTAATAAATTGACGATGCTGAAGTTCCCTCGCTCGTATACAGTTAACGAGTTGTATGACTGGCTCCACAACATGATCAAGTTGCAATACAGATTTACACAGGGCTTGATGGATTATGCAGTGCAGGAAAATGACATCCAGCTCAGGATTTTCCTCTTTCACTTTATCCTGGATTCTTTTCAGCAGCCCCGACTTTTTTTCCTGTTAAGTTTGGCGATCCATCTGTGGTGACATTGGCAAGTTTACTCCAAGGTAGCTTCAGCCTCTTGATGACATACAGTTCTTAAGACCCAAACTGCGTTTTACGTCGCTGATTTTCTCCGCAACACCGCTCACAACATCAATAGAGGACTGCGTCGGGTAGTTTTTAATCATACAAAGCCAGATTAAATTAAATAACTACTTCTCCAGCCTTATACCTTTCTCCAGAGTGCCATGGTGCATTGTTTATTAATGTGTTTCAGTGGCATTATCGCCCGCTGGAGCGCGGCTCGTCCACCGGAGATTATTCTCCCGTTAACTCACAGCAGCGGCCGCTGGAAAGTATTCACTGTCCGACTGTCACACAAGCAGTTGAGAAATATTCCCCATCAGTGAATGTGTGTCAGTCTGAATTGATGCTGTTTGGCATCACAACGCTGTTTCTCTGGCATTCTACAGGTGGTGTTAGCATAGCAACCGAAGCTAATCAGACTATATTGACTACTTGTTGATATCATATTGTGGCATAAATCGGCACATTTTACCGGCGTAGTTTTCGTTATGATTTTACTTGTGATGGCCACATGTAGCCCATGTATTGACTCCATCCGATAGCTGCAATAATACAAAACAGGAAAACATCTGCCTCTTCACAATTGTCAATAACGGGTGAAACGGATGGTCATTAAAGTAAGGTAAAATAAACAGAATCACACCAAGCTGGTTAGTGTTGCCTGACTTTATATAAGTGTTTTTTATAAGTGTGTGGTCGCGTTTTAGTCGCTTTGCTCAGCGCTACTACTTAGCGTTACAACTTGTATTCGCTGTACTCGCCATGATTGCTCAGGTTAATCTCAATTTCCTCCATTGTAAGGGTGACGTATGCGGTTCTTAGATCCTGCCGGGTTGCCGAGTGGTCAATTGCGCCATCTAGTGGAATAAACTGAAATTACGGTGTTGCAGAAAAAGGCAAAATTAATGCGGGTCATTACTATAATTTGGACAATTTTGTACCAATATTCGGCGGGCCGGATTAAAAAGTCCAACGGGCCGTATGTGGCCCGCGGGCCTTAGTTTGCCCATGCGTGTGTTAAAGCCTATGAGATATTCACATTGCAATAACAATCTTTGCTTTGACTTGAGGGTGCATGCATTATTTACAGTGATTGGTTTGCTCATTTACTTACTGTATGCAGTTGCATAAGCTAATTTCTATACAAACAATTGTCCTTTCCCTTTATTGCAGGTAAAGGCAGAAGCAGGAAGTGAGCTATATTGCCTCAGTTATGAAAAAAAGCTCAGCGGGTAGCGAGCTCCATGTGTAATGTATTATGTGTAGTATTTTCTCGCCCCCCAGAATGGTTGCTTGTAGCTTTATTGAACTATGAATATTCCTGAAACATTTCTGCTACAACACCACCTGCTCCCTACAGAGCCCTAATGACAAAATCAATACATTGTGTCAGATTTGAGCCTGAAATGCAAAGTGAATTGCCAATGTGTTGTAGTGGTAACATAACACATCTGGTGTCATTTGCCTGCAAACTGCTGCTGTAATCAGATCTCTTTACAGGCTAAGGTTTCTCATACTGGAGGAAGGAGCTGGAGTACACAGATGAAGATGAGGGGAGGAGATGGCCTCCAGTCAAATGTGACATAATTAGGGTGTGTTCAGTGTGTTTACATTGGAAACATCATCATGCATTCAGAAGTCATGATAATCCCACTTCTCATCTCTTTCATGTTTTATTTCCAGATGTGAGACTATGGTAGCCACTCAGACCCAGGGTTCCTGCAGGTTTCACCAACTCAAATGTAAGTCTTTTGAAGACCTTTTGAAGACCACTTTCAATAGAATTTAAGACCTATTTCACGGCAAGAAAGTATGAAGGAAAATTGCTATGAAAGAAGAAATACATCCCATAATTACTTACAAAGTAAATGTATTCATGTTCAACATAAGAACGATGACTGAACATAACAGCATAGCAGTACACAGAACTGTGTGTGTGTGTGTGTGTGTGTGTGTGTGTGTGTGTGTGTGTGTGTGTGTGTGTGTGTGTGTGTGTGTGTGTGTGTGTGTGTGTGTGTGTGTGTGTGTGTGTGTGTGTGTGTGTGTGTGTGTGTGTGACGAGCTATATTCATGGACACCATCTTTCATCGTTGTTGTTGTTGTTGTTGTTGTATGATTGGTGTTTAGCTACGGTATTTAGCGGCCACAGCACCTCCGCTTTTAGGGTTGACGTACACCCAAACGTCACCCGGAGGTCCCCCGATGTTGTTGCATTAGCTAACGCTGCATTAGCCAAACAAACGCTAAGTGCGTCTGTTTGTTTGCAAAAGGTGCAGCGGGCTTCAAACACGTTCCCCTCCACTGGTTTCAACCAAGCACTAAATTAGATGTTTTCCAAACAAATACGGTTGAACTTACACAACACCATATTTATTTGTAAGTAGATTCGAAGATACCAAGGTTTCTGACTTCCGCTAGCTGAAGCTTGGTTGCTAGGTTACTTGCTGGGTGTTCTCCGATAAGGGAGAACACCCTGGTTCCATGTTGATTTATTTTAATACAAATTGATGGGGGGAACTGAAAGGCTCTTACCGTACAGGTTACTTTGCAGCCCGGACATTTCCCCCAAAACACATTTAGACGTGATCGCAACACAGAAGTACCTTCAAATCCCATCTTTTTTTTAAGACCTTCTAAATCATATTTAAGACCTTTTAAGGCCTTAAATTCTGATTATCAAATGTAAGACTTTTTAAGACCCCGCGGGAACCCTGCAGACCACAGTAATCATGTCATTTTGCTAACCATTTCCTTTATCTATCTGATGACACTAGCGGCAGCCTGTGGTGTATTGACTGGTAGGATCAGGGGTAGCTGATAGCCTTGCTCTCTTGTGTCATTGTTTATGTTGAATCATATATGCAATATAGGGCTTGGCTCTTATCAAACCTTTAACATTTAAATGTTATGACATCAGAGACACCATCGTGATTGTCTATATCCTGTTCCCACATGCAGCACACAAATCAGGGAAAGTTTGAAGACACAACATTTTAATAAGTCTGTAGCAGGCAGGTGAAAAAGAGTTTATGGAGTTACTTGGGTACCTTTCCTTTGGCAGATTTAGGTTTTTCAGCTTTGACCCCCTTCCCCTTTGTCTCCTTTGGTTTAGGCATAGAATCCATCTTTTCTTTGACCATGTCCATCACCCTGGAGTCTGCAAAAACTCTGGCGATGTCAAGGCAGTTCAGTCCTGAAGGAAAATAAATTATTGTTAAGTGAATGTCAGTGTTTAAGAGGACATATTATGCTAATTTCCAGGTTTCATATTTGTATGTTGTGTCTCTACTGTGACATGTCTCCATGCTTTAATGTTCAAAAAGCTCTTTATTGTCCTCATACTATCTGTGCTGCAGCACCTCTTTTCACCCTCTGTCTGAAACCAGAGCCCAGTCTGCTCCGATTGGTTGGTTGGCCGGCTCTGTTGTGATTGGTCAACCGCTAAGATATGTCCGTCCCTTAGCCTATCACGTACAATGTGTTAGAGCGCTAGCCAATAGAAGTGTGTCTGTTACATAGTGATGTCACTGTGTAAACAAAGGAATCCAATAGAGGTGTTTAAGGCAGGGGGGGAGTGTATGGGAGAGAAATCCCTCTGGAGGGAATTTACTATTTTACATGCTGTTACGTGCCAGGCAGGCTGTACTTGTGTGGTTTTCCTTCCCTCCTGTGTTTCTCTCTTCTCCCCATCTTCTGCACAGCTAATCAGCAGCTGATCGGTATCTGCCTGTGCACCTGAGTCTGATGGCTGATTGGATCCTCTCCCCCTCAGCTGGCCTATCAGCAGCCAGGGCCGACCATAAAGGAGGCACCCAGGAAGTCTTCTCGCTCTCTCACTCTGGGCCTGTTGCTGATGAAGGAGCCTGCAGTGTTTAGCAACTCATTCACTTTGTATTGTCTGACCTTTTTGAAAGTGTGTTTGTTGAGAGGTGGAGGAGTTAGGTAAGTCTGGGGTACCCTGTACATTTCTCACCACGTAGCTAACTAATGTTTAGACACACTAGGTTAGCGGATTGTTGCCACCCCTGTATATTGTTTTGTCAACTTCTTCGTAGTTTAGTTAGTGAGGGTTTTTGTTTGAGTTTTGGTTTCAAAGGATAGATGTAGAGATAGGCCTGGTTTTGTTATGCTTGTTTCTTTTGTTTGGCGCAATCCTTTGACTCCTCCTCCTCCTCCTCCTCACCAACTAAGGTTTCAGTTATGTCTGTTCGGTTCTGGGTTTACAAAATAAACCTTTTGTAAACTGTTACGCTGACTCCCTCATTTGTATTGGTTGTATGTTATTGTCTCCAGGTCCCCTAGACCTTAGTGGGGACGCAACAATGCACAAAAACCTATGACACTACATGAAAGAAAACCCCTCAAAAATAATAATAGGCCCCTTTAACTATCAAATATGTACAGTTTTCCAGAAATGTATTGTGAATATAAACACATTCAGTAAATATATCAATATGTTATTATTATATTTCAGACCTTGACCTATTTGAAAATAGTTTAGTTTATTATTTTGTATTTTAGATGAACAAACCTTTCTTGTTCTCTGCATTGACATTGGCTCCCGCCTTGATGAGTAAGTCCACACACGAGGGTCGAGAGGTCTCGATGGCCCTCATTAGGGGCGTGCCTCTACCGAGGCCCCGGGCATCGACAACAGCCCCCGCGTGAACAAGAAGTTCAATTAGCTCCACTTGACCAGCGTAAGCTGCATGGTGGAGGGGCGTCCAGAAGAACTGGTCACACACTTTCACATCCGCCCTGTCAGGAAAAGGTGTATTATTATTAAAGTGTGTTCCGAGTCCCTACACAGAGTTACACACTGAGAGCAAATCAGATTTGTGTACTTCTTTCAGTGAAGTTAAAAGTCTTATCAAGGTGTGACTAAAAACAAAGTGTTTTTGTTTTCATTATCACAAAACAAAAACAAACAAAGATACAAAAAAACAGGCAGTTATTAATCCCGTATTATGCTTAACTTTGGTGCATCAAAACATATAGAAATCATATGCCACCCCTAACAACATGGGGCTCAGGCCCACTGACCTGATATTATCAAGCTCTACTGATTTAGCTAGTTGGTATTGAATTATTTTGTTAATTTTGGGCAACAATGGCCAAAATGTGGCCTAACAAAAAGGCCTTTTGTTACTTGGTTGGTTATTAACCACGTGTGACCCCTACTAGCCGTTAAAGGTGAGTGAAGCGGTCAATGACGGTATAAAGCAGTCAAAAAAATACTTTACTGGAGCTAACACATATAAATGAGCACAAACAATATTACACTGAATTGTCTATAACACAAGATAAGCTGTGTACACACTCAAGAATGCACCATGGATGTATAAAAACAACTGCCTACAGCGTTTGAGGCGTGGCCTCCTTTGTTCGTATTAAAATGGCACAAGATGCTGTGGTGCATGAAGCCAAAATGGCCTGACAAACATATATGCATGAAAACTTAAGCCCCCGCCTCCAACCTGAATTGTTCAAACTAGGTAGTTGATTCAGCTAAAAAGTGGGCCCAAGTGACATCACGGACTGACACAGAAATAGTATTACCTTCATTTTGCCTCAAAGAAAATGTGCTTTTAGAACGTTTTCCTGAGCTTGGAAATCTAAATTAAAGAAAAGAGAACAACATTTTCTCACCCCCTACTGAGTAGAAACTGCGCCACCTCGTAGTTGCCACTGGCGCAGGCGACCATCAGCGGGGTTTTGTAAAACTGATCTTGAACATCCACAGGAACCCCCTGATTTAATGCGAGATCCAAAGATTCCAGGTCTCCACTTTTCACACTGCAGTTGATATTGACGAAGACAGTGTCTGGCTTTTCTAGGTACCACCCAGAGTCGTTCATAATGGGATGTTCTGGCGGTTGGTCACGAGCAAATCTCCGGGTGTCTGAGCAGTTGAAGAAAGTCTCGATCATGAAATGGGGCGGGCCTCCGTCTGGTCGGCGAGGCATATGTTCTGGCGGGAGGGTGCAAATTGGCAAAGGGAGGACGAATTTACCCTTCTTACCTTTTCCTCCCTTCTCACCCTTTTTCTTTTTAGGCATATATGAGGAGAGGAGGAGTGGTTTCTTGATGTACTTGACGCCTTTGATGAAGTCATTAATGTTGATGCACCCCACTCTTCCCTTGTCATGGGCTGAGATGACTTGATGGATCTGTTCTAGATCTACTGGAGCTTTTAGTTCTTCTAACGCTGAGATAAACATCTCGGTGGAAACTGTTTCTGATTTGTTCCCACAGACTTTCTGTAATTCCGTCTCGTACTCGTTGGACCAGTCGTGGAGGGTCAGGCCCCAGAGGTCTGACAGGAGGCCGCCACTCGTGGATTTGTTTCCTTTCCCGTGCTGCCGCTCTGCTTTCTTTAGCTCCTTGGCTGCTGCTTTGTGACCGGCGTCTTTGGCAATCTGACGTGGCAACAAACCCTCCAGGTTCTTCAGTTTGGGGTTACAACCTGAACATAGATCACAGTTTTAGGACAAATATTAACATATGGTAAACTTACCTGATTTAATTTAGGACTGTGTTTGCAGCTGCACATTGTACAACCCCTTTTTCTTCCTGTCAAATACTTTAACTTTACTGAAACTTTTAATTTCCTGGCTCTACAGGTATCACAACACTAATATAAGCTTAAAAATACAAAAACAGGATTCTTGACTCTTGTTATGGCGTAAGAAGTAGTTTCCACAGAGCTATCTTTGTGTCATTATTAAAGACAGAAAAAGCTGAAATTGAATGTATTGACATTATGATGCATATTATTGTTAGACTCTCTCACAGCACCTCTCTGTGCCAGGAACTTGCAGCAGTTAGCATTGCCGGTGGCAGCAGCGTAGTGTAGGGGAGTGCACTCCTCCATGTTGACCACGCCCATGTCTGCCGAGCACGCAGACAGCACCTGAATCAACTGAGAGGCACAACACAATACAGAGAGGCTCATCAACACCACCATTTCAAATCTTAGGGTGGTGCAGGCATGAGTCCTAATACCAGGTAATGATGAGTTGAACGATGAAGAACTTCCGGTTCCCTTGTCTCAAAGTTAACTTTTTTAACATGCTTTTGGTTACATGACTGAAATATGGTCTGTGGTTAATACATGCTTAAAAGATCTCACACACGAAATTAAATATGTCAGTAAATAAATGTCAGAAGCATAAATATGTTTAATAAAAACTGAAGTTTCTAACAAGTGAAAAATGTAGACTTCTAAACGTCATCACGCTGAACACGGAGTCCAGTTTTAGCTTAGTGGTGGTGACGTGAAGTTATGCAACTGCGATGTAGTTTGTTTGTAGCCTAACGTTAGCTTTTTATGTATGGCAATGCATTTATTCAAAAATCTGAAAAGTGGTGTTAATATGTTGGGATTATCCTGCTGAACAAAACATATTGGTATCATGAACATGTGCTTGGCAAAGATCTTACTTTCTTCAATATTCAATCCCATTGGCTTTATTTTTGTAGCCCTTACGATTCTAAAAATAACCTCTACACTGCACCACCCTATCCTTACCAATAGCCAACTTTCTTAACCCTTAGATGCATAAGTGGGTATTTTTTGTGAGGTGGTTATCTTAGAGTATCTTTGTAATTACATTTTTTTTATCATTTCATATTCCAGCTATTCCTCAAAAAACATGTTTTGGATATCCAGGTAATATGCAGGAATCCTGAAGTTAAATGTAAGACCTTTTAAGACCTTTTAAGACCCTTTCCACACATTTTAAGACCTCATCGCCACTCTGAGTTCTAACCGGTTACATTGGCGACACACTTTACCTCACATTGACTATATACAGTATTGATTGTCCTTCCTCCTTATCTTCCGTTTTTTTTTCAAAATGTAAAGAAAATGTCTAAACTTATAAATAGAAGTGAAAACTTAAATATAAAATATTTCTAGTGTGAACCAAAATATAATACTAAATATTATACAAGTGATTTTTCTTAACCAAAATGACAAAAAAAGCATAAAAACACATATTATTCTAATACGGGTCCTTTTTGACCCACTTATGGAAGAGTGTGGTCCAGTCACTCGTGCATCTAAGGGTTAACATATGTATAAGTCGTTTTTTTATATATATAAACATTAGGCGAGGAGATACTACACCTCAAAAAAGCCCCCCATGGCAGCATAGTGTACGGCTGTGAAGCGTTTTCGATCCAGAGCATTGGGGTTTCCCCCTCTCTTCAGAATGCTTCTCAGGACCTGCAGGGAGCCGGCCTTGGCTGCCTCCATCAGTGCTGTGGTGCCAGTTTGCTGGCAAGAGAGAAGTCAGTCTTAGGTTGAACAAACCAGATCCTGCATATTCCACTGCCTCAGTCCCCATCATTTCGGTTTCATGTATGTTTCACCTGATTTGTTGCATTGGGGTCCGCCCCTTCTCCCAGCATGAGGAGACACATGGCGGTGCCCTCCTGGGCTTTTTCACACATCACCTGGAAGACGTGAGTCCCCTGCGCTGACACATTGTTGACATCTGCCTCACCTGTCAGTGCCAGCTTCACGCAGCGGGTGTGGCGCTCAGTGGGGTAGATACAGTAGAATAGCACTCCTAAAGTGAGATAAGAAAGGTGTACAGAGGGTAATTAAACTAGAATGATTGTTTCTCAGCCAACCAGTGATGTTGCAGTGCATATCCATGTCTGTCCAAAATGTTTTATTCTCATTGTATTCTCCATTAGACATTTGTGTGAATTCATCATAATTAGCATTTAAATGATTGAGGTACAAAGAGGTCACCGTCGGTCAGTGCGATGTTGACTTTTGACCGGCAAAATGTAATAACTGCATCTTTGAGTCCAAGTGGACACATTTGGAGAAATTCTCTCCAGGCGATCCTGAGATATTTTGGATGGAGTAACTAAATAATGTGTTCTTTGGCCACAGCTGAGGTTGTTAAATATATGACTTCATTCTGTGAATTGATATGAGTGGAAATGGTCCTGTGATCAGGACATCCTTAGCAACAGTCTGTCAAACGGTATATCAGACTGCAGAATGTCCGAATTGAACAATGAGGAATAAAGTATTAAACTAACCAGTATTATAAGAAAACATAATGCCTCAGGCCATTGCTGGTGCCATCATGTGGGCATTTAAAGTGAGAGATAGAGGGATTGAGTCAAGAAAAAAGATTTCTGATTGAAAAAAAAACATCTCAAGGAGAAATCTTTATATCAACATTATCTAAATAAATTGGTCAGAGGTATCCATTTAGCCGAATAACTGTATAAGCACAAAAACAGGGATATATTTTGTCTTTGCCATTGTGTCCTGTTTCTATTGTAACTAGGCTGTTTCAATATAACATTATGATGATAAGTGAGACATTTAGAAAAATCCAAAATTGTGTTGAGTAACCCAGTGCCCCTAAAAGTGAATATATATATATATATATATATATATATACAGTTATAGTCAAAGTCTCTGTCTAACTCCCTTTACTCATATTTCAAGTGTAATTGATTTGACAATAAAAGAGGCAATACTCGAAGGACAAAAAGCTGAATTTGACCGCTAGCACTTTTTCTTTTTTATTGAAATTGACTATAAATATTAGCTAGAATTGTATTGGCTACAGATAAATGTAATATTGTGATAGCCCTAGACACAACCCAAACTGTCCAATAGAGAAAAGAGTGCCAAACATTTTTAAATGATTACCATCCATCCATCCATCCATCTTCTCCCGCTTATCCGTGGTCGGGTCACGGGGGTAGCAGTTCCAGCAGAGAGCCCCAAACTTTCTTTTCCCTGGCGACATCAACCAGCTCTGACTGGGGGATCCCAAGGCGCTCCCAGGCCAGCGAAGAGATATAATCCCTCCACCTGGTCCTAGGTCTACCCCTTGGTCTCTTCCCAGCTGGACGTGCCTGGAACACCTCCCTAGGGAGGCGCCCAGGTGGCATCCTAACTAGGTGCCCGAACCACCTCAACTGGCTCCTTTCGACGCGAAGGAGGAGCGGCTCACCTCCGAGTCCCTCCCTGATGACCGAACTTCTCACCTTATCCCTAAGGGAGACACCAGCCACCCTGCGGAGAAAACCCATCTCGGCCGCTTGTATCCGCGATCTCGTTCTTTTCGGTCATGACCCATCCTTCATGACCATAGGTGAGGGTAGGAACGAAAATGGCCCGGAAGACAGAGAGCTTTGCCTTCTGGCTCAGCTCCCTTTTCGTCACAACGGTGCGGTAAAGCGACTGCAGTACCGCTCCCGCTGCTCCGATTCTCCGGCCCATCTCACGCTCCATTGTTCCCTCACTCGAGAACAAGACCCGAGATACTTGAACTCCTTCACTTGGGGTAAGGACTCATTCCCTACTTGGAGTGGACAGTCCATCGGTTTCCTGCTGAGAACCATGGCCTCAGATTTGGAGGTGCTGATCCTTATCCCAGCCGCTTCACACTCGGTTGCGAACCGATCCAGTGAGTGCTGAAGGTCACAGACCGATGAAGCCATTAGAACCACATCATCTGCAAAAAGCAGTGGTGCAATCCTTAGTCCACCGAACTGCAGACCCCCTCCCCCATGACTACGCCTCGAAATCCGATCCATGTATATTACAAACAGGATTGGTGACAAAGCGCAGCCCTGGCGGAGGCCAACCCTCACCGGAAATGGGTCCAACTTACTGCCGAGGACCCGGACACAGCTCTCGCTTTGGGAGTACAGAGATTGGATGGCCCTGAGTAGAGACCCCCTCACCCCATACTCCCGCAGCACCTCCCACAGTAACTCCCTGGGAACTCGGTCATACGCCTTCTCCAAGTCTACAAAACACATGTAGACCGGATAAGCCTACTCCCAGGCCCCCTCCAGGATCCTTGCGAGAGTAAAAAGCTGATCCGTCGTTCCACGACCAGGACGGAATCCGCATTGTTCCTCCTCAATCTGAGGTTCGACAATCGGCCTGACCCTCCTTTCGAATACCTTAGAGTAAACTTTCCCGGGGAGGCTGAGTAGTGTGATGCCTCTGTAATTGGCACACACCCTCTGATCCCCCTTTTTAAAAAGGGGAACCACCACCCCGGTCTGCCACTCCTTCGGTACTGTTTCCGACTTCCACGCAACGTTGATGAGACGTGTCAACCATGACAGTCCCTCAACACCCAGAGCCTTCAGCATTTCCGGGCGGATCTCATCCACCCCCGGGGCTTTGCCACTGTGGAGTTGTTTGACGACCTCAGTGACCTCCCCCCGGGAGATTGGTGTTGATCCCCCGTCATACTCCAGCTCTGCCTCTAACATAGAGGGCGGAGTTGTCGGGTTCAGGAGTTCCTCAAAGTGTTCCTTCCAACGCCCTAACACTCCATCAGTTGAGGTCAACAACGTCCCATCCTTACTGTACACAGCTTGGATGGTTCCCTGCTTCCCCCTCCTGAGGTGTCGGACAGTTTTCCAGAACAACTTTGGTGCCGCCCGAAAGTCCTTCTCCATGTCTTCTCCGAACTTCTCCCACACCCGCTGCTTTGCCTCGGCCACGGATGAGGCTGCTGCCCTTCGGGCCTGTCGGTACCTTGCAACTGATTTTTAAATGATTTAATAAATGATAATAATAAAAAATGTTGGCAGAGTACAGCAGTTCATTTTCAGATATAATATACTTAAAGGGGACATATCATGCTATATTTGAACAATATATTGTAGGGCCATACCTATATAAAGTATATAAATATAGTTGTTTTTTTCAAAATACCAAACAGATCCTGCATTTTAGCCATGCCTCATTTCGCTCTATTTGCTCTTTCCAGCGCTGTTTTTACAAGGGCTGATTCTGTGAGCTGCAGCTGACCACGCCCCCCTGCAGGAGAGGGGAGCATGCTTTGAGATCAGCTGCTGGGCTGTCAGAAGAGGGGGAGAAAAAGAGATCTCCGTCCTCCGTGTTTTATTCTTATAGAAGTGAGAAGAGAAGTAACGGGCAGAAACCCTCCTTTTTACGCAGCGGTCCAGACATAGACATCAAACGGCGACACATATTCAGTTGCCAGTTACTTTGGCATTAGGGCAGGGATATCTAGATACTTTCCAAGGTTTGACATAATGAATTGTGCTACTTTTAAAGCAAGCAACAATGTTTTCAAATCTGTAATCAAAAAGCTCCTCAAAAACGCTATCGAAGCAGTTCCTGCCATTGCTTCGTAGTTCAAACAGTAACAACGGACTACTTTTCTTAGCGGATGTATGTCAATTTAAATCAATACAACAATTTTTTAAATCAATAAAATCATTTTCTAAATCCATAAAAGCATTTCAATTAATATTGGGAGTCATATCGTTACTTTGTTGAGAATGTGGCCATGTAATAAGCGGGATAATGTGCACATTGTATAATGTTCCTTCATGCCGATCTAGATCCCTCCGCTTCGCGTCGGGCTTCTGATCCTGATTTTCCCCATAATGACCGCGTCGCTGCACATTATCCCTTACATATGATTATATAGAGTCATTATTCATTTGTTTTAAAGCAGGAGGCGCAAACGCTTGCCTCGGGGAGGGAGAAAAAGAGCCACAGCAGAGAATAAACAGAAGGGCAACCATGGCAACCATGCAAGGGAAGTCTTCTTCGCTGCTTTTGTGGCAGACTACAGCGCCACTTACAGGCCTGGCATATGTACTACAGCGTCTCCAGCGTTTTCGAGCAGCAATGGCCGGCCGTGGCCCAACCTCTCATTCCCCTGATAGGTGGAGAATTGACCAATAAGCTGAGCACCCCTTTTGTGACGTAGAAAATAATTCAAATCTGTATCAGTCTGTATCAGATCCGTTGCAGCCCCTTTTTTTAGAGATTTGGGTATGGAGGAAAAGAGAGGGTTGTATTTTCTGACACTTGGTGAGTTCCCTGACACACCGGGGACACATATTCATGTATAAAAGATGTGCATTTTGCATGATAGGTCCCCTTTAAACATTGTTGTATTAGGTGAACAACGGAGCTTGTTAGCTTGCAGGCTTGTTAGCTTATAGGCTGTTGAGATCTTCATATGAAGTGAATACTTAAACGAAAGTTAATTGAGATCATGGTATGAAGTGAATACTTAAAAACGAAAGTTAATTAATAAATCATACATGATCAATCATATTATTGTATAAACCCATAATGAGAATGCTTCTTGACGGTTTTTGAATATGTATGTATGCTTACAATTTTTTCTGTTGCTATTTTGATAACTTTGCGTTTTGAAAAGAGGGTGTTGTGAGTTTTCATAGTATGTTTAATACTTAAAAACGAAAGTTAGTTATAATCAAATATAATCAATTATATTCTTGTATAACCCACAATGAAAATGCTTCATATTTTAGGTTTTTCTATAGTTACAGTATAAACAAAACAAAGTGGTTTGTTTAGGTTGAGTGTGTATGTTGCCGTTTTCCTCCCTCTCCTGTGACAGCAGTACACAGGGAGGGGGGCTCCAGGCTTAAGGAGAAACACAGAGGCCAAAAAGAGTTCATGTCCTTTTCACACTAACATGAGAAGGTGGGTCTTATGTCATAAAGCTATGGAACATGTCGAGGCATGTTCAGCCTTGTACATTAGAGGGCATGCGCAGTT